GTCTACTACTTAATAATCTCGAGAAGATCCAACTTTTAGAAAATTTTACATTCCAGATCACCCAATGAAAGAACTCAGATGTAAACCGAGTATTCCAGGAACCAAAATCCAGACACATAGATATCCATGTTTCCTGACTACGGCTGATTCCTTCTTTTGGGAAATACCACATCTCCTTATATCCTAAAGATGATCTTAGGAGGTAGCCAAAGTGGTTTGACGACCCTCTAACTGAAGCTGATTTTTGTCAGCAGTCACAAAAGTACAGAAGCCTTTCTTTCTCTTCCCCTGCGTCCTCAGAGTGACCTTCATAATGCTTATCCTTCAGCCACTTCCTTTAGGACTGATTTCCTTGACAATGGCCTTTCCCTTCTATACTGTGTCTGTTTCTCACAATCTGTCCTGCTGTGTGTGTGTGTGTGTGTGTGTGTGTGTGTGTGTGTGTGTGTAAGTGCATGCATACACACCCTGCCAGATCCCAAGGCTAAAATTTGGGGATTGGGTAAGTCATACTGAGAATGTGGCAGCCCTGAGGAAAGTCATACTGAGAATGTGGCAGCCCTGAGGCTGTGACAGGAGCTCCAGCATGATAAATACAGAGTAAAGTAAAAATAAGAAGAAGAAGTTGGGCCATTGATGATGCTATCGGTCTTAGTGGGGTGACACAGCAGCCATTGTGTCTCATTTCTCTTTAAAGAACAGCATGAATGGTCATGGAAATTACAAGTCATACCTCTCCATATTTGGAATAGCAGATAGTTTCCTTGGCAGTAAGACTAAGCAGCTTTCCTAATATTTTGATAGCAATGGGGGGAAAAAGGCAGGGAAGAGTGGGGAATAATGTGGGAATTGTCATGTAACTTAGAGTTTTTTGTACCCACTGTTCTGGCTAGTTGTACGGTATTTTCTACCCACTCCTCAGGCATAGCTTGGGAACCAGGAACAGCAGAAACCTTAGTCCTGGCAAAGTATGAATGGTGCTCAGTCACCTGCCGCCCGATGTGGGTTACACTGAAGGGAAAAAAGGCACTTACAGAGAACACTGTATTTAATCGGGCTGGGATGGTCAATTCATCTTGACCTTCCTGTTTGCTCAGTGGTTGTGGACATGAGACTCGGGCTCACTATCTACGTCATTATCCTGTTTTAATAGAGAGAGGCGGGCACCTTCCTGCTTGCTGTCTCCCACATTCTTCGGCTGTGATGCTTGGGTGACTTGGACATGCCATTTATCTCTCTGGTTCCATTAATTTATTTTCCCACATCCATCTGAAAATGTTGACCAAATGTCATGCTGATTTCTCTAGAAAAAAATTTCATCCTCTCTGTAGGGAACCAGGAAACCAGAGTCCAGAATCCATTTCAAGTTAGCAAACATTTAATGAGTATATATTTTGTTTCAGACACTGGGCTCAAGTTCTGGAAATGCCAAGGACTAAGACAGCCTTTATGAACTTAAGGAGTTCTCAATCTTGAAAGATATAATACAAATCATACTGTAATAAATACTATAACAGAGAACTGGGAAGAGAAACAATCAGATAGGTTTTGGAAAGATGACTATTCTGATTATGCGGAAGATGAATGGTTTTTGAGGTGGGAAGAGGTTGAATGCAGGAAAATTAGTTGAGAAGCAATTGTCATATTCCCCCGCAAGAAGTTGCTGAGGGCCTGAAGTAGGAGTGGCCTTGAGGAAGAAGGCAGAGTCCAAGGTGATTGGGTTTTGAGTTGTAAAGAGGCTCTGAAACCTCTGAGGCTACTACCTTGGACAGCTGTGTCATACTGTTAACTAAGAGAGATAAAGCAGGAGAAAGGGGTGTTTGCACTTGTTGATTTCAAGATAAAGTTACCTATTACACAACTGGAAATGTGGGACTGGAGTGCAGAAGAAATATCTAAGCTGGAGCTATGGATCTGAGTGTTTTGTGTTCAGATACCATCGGCATGGATGTGATTTCCCACGGAGAGTGAACATATAGAGAAGAGAAAAGTGCAAAAGAGAGATCCCTTTAGAAGATGATCACTTAAAGAATGAGCCAAAATTTTTTTCTTTTAGTCTGTGATAGAGAAGGAAGATGAGTGGTCATAAGAAAAAGAGAAGAGAGAAAAACAGAAAGTGGTATCAGGAAGCCAGAGGAGAGTTTCAAGAAACATCGGGGTGGGGATCAATGCTAGAGGCTGCTACAATTAGAGTTCCCTCAATTAGAATTTATGACCCTAAAGGCCAATTTCCAATCCTGATTAGAACCGCAACTTTTGTAGCATATGGATTTGATTAAATACTGTCCTAATTCTGGAGCTGGAGACGAGAAGCCTAAATTCTTGTCCTAGTTCTATGACTTTCTTGCTAGGTGACTTTGGCAAATCATTAACTTCTTGAGGCTCGTTTTCCTTATTTGTAAAGTGAAAGAGTTGGACTGTAATTGTTTAAAGTTCCTCTGGCTTCAAGTTCTATGCCCAACTGTTTTGGTGGTTTGCCAAGCCCAAGCTATATTTCTAGCTGCCAGTCTCTGGCGGCTAACCATCCAACTGGATATAGAATTACATAGCTCTGTTATCTCTCCTTGATGTGTTTCTGTGTTGACCTTTCTTGCTATGGAGATAAATATTGGGGCGGGGGCGAGGAGGCGAGAAAGAGTAGATCTGCCTCTCCTGGGTTTTTCTAAGATATTCAGAAAATCACCTTCTGACTTGTGGCCATAGAGAGTCTCACCTTTACACTGAAGGAAAGGGCTCCTCCACCTTCTCCTAGCCAGAGGAATTAACTCTTAATTTGTTTATTTATGACTTGCCTGTGCACTTTTGAATGAGATGGTTTGCATTCCAGCTGAAGATGAACTTGCTGTTATCTTCTTACTGAATTCCTCCCCCAACACTCCAAGTATTTTCAAAAGCCAAGCTCCTTACCCATGTTTTTCCCCTCTTTTTGATGGATTGTACTCTGCTGGAACCTAATGAGATTTACCCATAATTTGTCTAGTAATATCCTTATTATTAGTGTCAGTATTTTGTCTCAGAAGGTCTCTTGAAAGCAACCAATAGTTTCATTATTGCTGTTTGTAGGCAGATCCTTGACAAGAGGTTGCAATGCCTAAAACTCATTAATTCAAGAAAACACTGTTTTGAGAGACACTTCTAAATGTAATTGTGAGCAAGGGAAATGTCAGATATGTATAAATATGTGTGTATATGTTGATAATAGTATCATCAGAATAGGATTAACCCTTTAGAGCTGAGAGGAGGCAAACAGGGCAGGAAGCCTAAGGCCAAAATGCCATCCACAAATTAAATAAATAGTCATAGTAACTTTGTAAATCTCCAGCAATATTAAAGTACTTAACTTGAAATAACTCATTTAATCCTTACAGCAAACCTCATGAGATAGGTGCTATTATCCACATTCTCATTTTATGGCTGAGTAAGTTAAGGCACAAAGGAGAGAAGTAATCTGCCCACATCACATAGCTAGAACACGAGACCCCAATAATATATTTATTCTATAGACATGACAAGAAGAATTGGTCATCTTTAGAACTTAACTGAATGGAATGGAATGGAATTGAGACCAGTTAGGAGGATATTGTGTCGTAGAGCTAAGATGGCTTAGAGTTCTGGAAAGAAAATGGAACCAAGAGAACACAGTTCTATTTCCATCTCTGACACCAACTGTGTGGCCTTGGGCAAATGATAAACTGCCGTCTGGCCCCCAACCTGTTTCCTCATCTGTCAAATAGGAAGGTTGGATCCAGGTATCTCTAAAGGTCTCTGGAGCTGGAACCTTCTGTTTTGAGAGAGTGGCTGGATGTAAACATCGGCTCTCTGTAGCTTGCACAGATATTAAATAACTCACTCTTGTTCGGCAAAGGCCACGAATATCTGTCAGTGTGTGAGGTATCAGGCTAGCACTGGGGTGCCTGCCACTAACAGCCGTACCAAGCTCTCTCTCTAAATCCTGATCTCTGTAGGCAGTAGGGAGGACTTTGAGAAATCGTGAACAACTAACTAGTCAAGAGAACTCGTCTGCGGTGGTCCATTAGCAAGGACAAACCGCTCTGAAAGTATTCCCTGAGAAGCAGCTCTTCAAGCACGTCTAAAAAACAGTAGTACGCTGCTTAGCAGGTAGTGAGGAGGTCACTGGGACAGGAGACAAAGGACATCCAAAACAACTCTCATACAAAGGATTTCTATCTGCCTCTAATCAAGCATGGTCCAGTGCTCTACTTCAGTGCGTCATGGAGTTCCATGGCAGTGGCCCAACTCCAAAAGCCTCACATTTATTCATGCTGATTAGGTCTGTAGTCCTTTGCCCTTCTACTGTTTTCTGTTTTTTCTTCTTTCCCTTCTTTGAAGCCAATATATTTGCATAGCTATCCGCCCTGAGTTCCCAAAGAACTGGCCCCTACTCTTTATAACTTCTGATTTCATCTTGGAGCTTCCTTATCAGCCCTTCCCAGTTGTTGAATGGGCCCAGAGAAAGGGACAGAGACCAGAGGAGTCAGCTCTCTCCCTGCTCTATAATCTCAATACACTAATAGAGTAATTTCCTTCTACTGACTTTGGTATAAAGGACCAGAATACTATCTTCTGTAATCTATGACTTTTCTTTTAAACTACAGAATGCCCAAAAGATGGAAGAGAAACAGGAGATTTTAGACTCTTACACATCCTCAAATGGTTCCTCAAACCAGAATATAATGCTGCATGACTGATCTTTATGTACATGAACTTTGAATTGTTAGAAGGAACCCGGAGCTTCCTAGAATATAAATACAAAGTAAATCTTCACGTGAAACACAAACCACTCAGTTTCCCTTTGGCTTCTCTTGTCTAAGTCATAGACTTCCTGGATCTCGAAACTCTCAAGAACAAAGACTTCCACCTTATTCTTAAAGAGCATTACCAGGCCTCCTGGGTACTGACCTCTATGGCTTTGCCTCCTTTCCTTAGGTTAAGCAATCTGGTTAGCAGAGTAAAAGTCAGACTCCCTCCCAACCACTTACCAAAGGGCAGATCGCTTAACATGGCACGGCCGCTCTACAGCAGAGAATCAGCACATGGAGAAAGACCCGTGGTTAAGGCCTACAGCACAGTGGGGAGATGATTAACGTGTGTCATTTATAAAGGAATGCAAAGTATGAGGCCGAAAGATCAAGTCCACATTTCTAAAGAAGAAAATAGGGGAAGGACAACAACAGCCCAAATTCCACAATTATGTAAAGTCACAAACATGCTCCATCCAATCAGCCGTTCTTTCTCTCACAAATGATCATCATCGCAATAACACCTAGTGCATCCAGACATTTAGCGAAGCACTAGAAAGATCACTTTTAGTTTTCCGAGTGCTTGTGGTGAATTTACGATGTTTCCTGGCTCCTCTGTGTGCTGGGAAGGAGCAGGCATGTGGTGATGGCTGCCATCATGCTGCGAAACATTACTAACGCCAAGAAATGAAATCTTTGGGGCCTTTGAAAAGCTTCCAAGAATGTCAGCACGCACTGGCTGCCCACTCTCTGCTGAATGCCTACTTTGGCTGTCTGCTTAGTACTGAATGTGCCAGACAGGCCTTCATACAAAGAGAGAAAGGGTTTTAGGCCCCTGAAAGGGGAAGGCACAGCCTTTCTGATGTGAATGGTGAGACTCAAGAAATAGGAAATCGTGGCAGGGTGAGGAGGGGCCTTCACGAAAGGTATCAATAAAAGACCAAAAGAGAAAGAGATGGCATCTACATATATGTGATAAATTCTTAGTAGCTCCCTGCCATCAAATCTGGAGATACAGACTACTGTCACACTATGCTCTATGCTTGATTATCATGGAAAAAATGCTTGCTTGGAGATTCTCCCTGTATCCAAATACCTTGTGATCAACTGAAAATGAGAATTTTTAAGCCCTGCCAAGACATATATAAATGTACTTTTGTTTCTATTTTAACACTAAATATAAATACCGTTTGTACTGTTTTTTATTAGAGATGTTCTTTGACTCTTTTATCCCCAATATATGAAAAAATTAATGTCAGTTGTAGTACTTCTGAATATCTTAAGATATTTTATTCTTTAAGCTGGCTTTAAGAAAGGAAGAAAAATGTTTTGTATGGTGAACCATTCTCTGACTCTTTAACTCATAATTCCTTGGCACAGCGTCTACTGCTAGAGGAAAGAACTCTTGTGGTGTTCTGAGCTTTTCAAGGAGGCAGTGTGATGTCATTGGTGGCAGACACAGTATGTATGTATCTGTGTTTTGTCTGCACCATCTGTTTTCCTCCTTACAGGCTATTGTTCAGATTTATTATTCTCTTCTTTTCAGGAGGTATGCCTCTCCATAAGAGCATGGGTTTTAGGTGTTAAAGGGACTGCACTAATATTCTAATATGATTTCTCTCTCTTCTTTCCTTCTTAGAATCTTATGGCAAGAGCCTTATATGACAATGTCCCAGAGTGCGCTGAGGAGCTGGCATTTCGCAAGGGAGACATCCTGACTGTCATAGAGCAGAACACAGGAGGACTCGAAGGATGGTGGCTCTGTTCCTTACATGGTCGGCAAGGCATTGTCCCAGGCAACCGGGTGAAGCTTCTGATTGGCCCTGTGCAGGAGACCTCCTCCAGTCAGGACCAGCCTACTTCTGGACTGATACACCAGACCTTTGGCCAACAGAAGCTCTATCAAGTGCCAAACCCACAGAGTGCTCCTCGAGACACCGTCTACCAAGTGCCACCTTCCTACCAAAATCAGGGAATTTACCAAGTACCCACTGGCCATGGTACCCAAGAACAAGATGTGTACCAAGTACCACCTTCAGCGCAGAGAGGCATTGGCGGGGCTAATGGACCTCACTTAAGTAAAAAGGTGAGTTAGTTACTGACTAGATTTTTTTCCCCCTTATTTTTTTCCCGTTGCCCTAAGAGCAATAGAAGTATCCCCAAAATAAGTACTTGACACTTCCAAGAAGTAAGTATATCTAAATACCCTAGATTGGGCAGTACTTTTGCATCATTTTTCCATTCGTTTGTCAGCAAAACTTTCTTGAATTCCTACCATGTGCCAATAACTGTTGATGCACAGCATCATAAGTTCCTGTGCCATCCCAGGTCGTGCTGGATCATTTAGTTGTTTCTCTTCGTCCTTCTAATAGATCTGCTTTTAGACCCAGTTTCTGCACTCAAATAGTTTCATCTTTTCAATTTCTTCCTTGAGTGGTACAAGACACCAAATTTTGTACAAGCACAATGATGCTGTAAAAACCTTACTTTTGCCAAAAGCTGAATCGTGACCCCATTGGCCTGGCTGCACAAAGAACTCACTAGAAGTAGAGGAAGTAAGGAATCTGGGAGTGGGTCATGCTAACCAGTTTGTTCTGCAGAGTTGCTAGCTTACAGTTTGGCTCATTTAAAACACATAGATACTTGTATTAGAAAGGACCCATTCTCTCTTATCCTTCAAGTAGTCCTATAATAAAGTCTGAGCCAGTGGGTAAAAATAGTGGAGCTAGGATGTTTAGGACTGCATCATGTTTAAAAAAGGGAAGGACCTCTTCAGCACTCTATGTAATTCCAAATGACAGAACAATTTGATATAAATAAAAATTTTTAATTGAATGAATTTCAAGCATCTAGTATATTTTTGATGCTTGTGATACAATGATGAATTAAAGAGTGAACAAAACCTTCATGATGCTGCCACTATAATGCGGGGACATAAGCAAACACTATCATGTCAGGTGCTGGGAGGAAAATAATGTCAATGAGCTTATAGGGGTAATAACCAAAGCTGAAATGATCTGAGCTTTAAAAGGCAGGGCTTTTCTCTTTTGTTTACTGGCAAATTCCAAGAGTCTACAGAGTATCCTGTGAGGTTTGGTATTAAGAATGGATAGATTTAAGGGAATAAGAAAAGACCCCAAAATTACAAGAGGAAAGGTCCAGTTCAGTACCAGAAAGAGCTTATTGACTCCTAGAACACCTCATATACAGGTGCTCCTCTCAAGAAAATCTTATGCAGAATCTAAAGTTATAAAACCATGTAAATTAGGGAATATCTATTTGCCTGATAATGGAATCCCCTGTTGGAAAAAAAAAAGGGGGGGAATTTACTGTTGGATTTCTTAAATAACAAAACCACAAATGTACCCAAATCACTTTTTATACATAAAGTACGTTTTACAAAACACATCTCAAAGCACATTTATTGCCTAAGCCGAGTGTGTGTACATTGGGAGGAATTCCTCAAGAAGTGGTGAACAGATTTCTGACTTGTGTTGCCCAAGACAATGATCCCTGTCTGCAGGCTATAGACTGTGCCCTGACCTTTCAATGTCCTTACCCCAGGGATTTTGGATTCAAAGGAAAAGCCAAAGCAGGCCTCTGACTTTAGAGGGGGAAAAGAACAGTTGAAAGGTGTAACTATAAATAATAACTTCTCTCATTCTTAGTCCTGGTTGTTTGCACCTTAAAAATAGCTTTTCCTTCATCTGAGCTAGTGCAAGGCAGATCGGGAAGGCAAGGCCAGAACAGGAAATGCTTGGCTGAAAGGTGGTGGGGTCTAAATTTTCATCAGTTTATTTTGGCAGGAAGGTGACATGTTTTCCTTTTTAGACTCAACCTTTTTGGTTCCAAGTCTGAAAAGCCTAAAACTTCAGACTTCTTCCCATTTTATTTGCTATAACTGTACTGCAGATTTGCTCTGTGACTCTCCATCCTATTAGAGGAGAGAGACTCTAATCACGCCACACGCCATCTCTTGATTGATATTGGGGCATTGGGGTTACTCATGGGCACTTGAACTCAATAATATGTTTGTGTTTTTAATTCTAAAATCATTGGAACATTTTATGTTTAGCGAAAGGTAGATGATTCCTGTAGGAAGAAGCCAACTTCCGAAACCTCTGGCACCCTTTCCAGAGAATGCAAACAGACCTGGACTTTACCAGAGCTCAGGAGGAGATAAAGACTAGAGAGCTGAGCTGCTTTAAGCAGTGGGGGGTCTGAGATGGTAACATGGCAAGAATGGGAGGGGCAAAAGAGAATGGTCCTGGCTCTTCCCTGCCAAATGCCACGCGTTCTGCAGGATATCCTGACCTCACCTCAGAAGTCATGTTAGAGCCGCTGGTTCTCTAGGCTGCCCATCTCCGTCCTACCCACTGGACCATTGGCTTACACTCCCATGGGAGTGAGTTTGCCCTCTTCCTCTCCCTCTCTTCTTCCTCTTTTCTCTCTCCCTTCCCTCCTCTCCCCTCCTCTTCTCCTCCTCTTTTTTGTTCTCTCTCCTTCCCTCCCTCCTTATCTCTCTCTTTCTCCCTTTGTTTCTCTCGTTCCTTCCTTCCTTCCTTCCTTGCTTTCTTCTTTCCTTCCTTCCTTCCTTCCCAGTGAAAACGGCTTGGCTGCTAAAAAGTAATTTTAACCTTCTAGGTAATAGTGGCTACTTTAAAAACTGTCATTCCCTCAGCGTAGGTTTCTGACTCAGGATATTCTCAGTAAGTGAGAATCATCCTAATGATTTAAGCCAAGGACCCAAGAGTTATTCCCAGTACAGTGGAGGCGGGCGGGTGGGGGGTGCGGAGCGAGGGGGAATAGGGTAGTGGAGAGAGGGCAGTGGGTTTTCACTGTAGCTAAATAGCCCTATACCCATTGTTCCCTTTGGCTTTCCCATCTATAAAAAGATGGTGAACCCAGAACTAGACATTCCTGGTAGTTTAAGCTGTGGTCCTTAAAAGTTATTAAAGAAGAAAAAGAGGAGACAGTGGAATCTTGTTCTGAAACACTAAAGTGTTTTCTCCCTGGAGAGGGAGAAAAAAGTGAGCTGAAATGCAGATTCCCAGACCTTTCCCCGGATCCTCATCCCGGGGCCCAGGAATCTGCATTTTATTAAACTCCTTGGACAGTTCTGGGGGGAGGTGGCAGGACTGCACTTCGAGAAACACTGTGAAGGGACCAAGTAGGGAGTTGGATATGTTCCAATCTGATTATGATTTGGGACTTTCCACAGTTAAAGATTCCCTTGATGTTGCTAACAGCCTGTGAGATTCAAAAATTTTATTTACCACAGTTTTTTCTACTAATGAATCACGAAGGAAAAATAAAGACAGTTAATTCTGCCTTCTACACTTCAAATTTGCTCTCTGGAAAACTCCAGCCTCTACTCTCCTTCTGGCCTCCCATCCACATTAAAAGACATTCATCACTCATTAAATAAGCAATCCACGCTTTCATGAAACAAGAAGACAGCATGAATATTGTGAAAAGAACATGGGCTTTGGGGTTAGGCCGACTCCTGGTTCTGTTTCTTCATAGCTCTTATTTCTTGGCAAATTACTGGACTTCTTTAGGCTTTGCTTCTTCGTCTGTACAATGAGAAGAATCATAGGACTGTTGTGCGAATTAAATGAAACAATACATAGAGAGGACCTGGCACACTGCTTAATGTAGTAGAGGCTTTAAAAAATATTAGTTCTTCTCTCTTCATTTTTCTTTCCTTTTCCAGAGTTTATTTAGAACTGCATGAGCCCTCTTTGTGTTTCTCACTATATACCAAATATGCGAATACTTTATTGCTAGCGCTTAGGCTGTTCCTTGTGAGCATGTGGCTCTCTCTTTGCATCTACGAGAATTTTGCACAGAGGACGAGAATTCCCAAAGTTATCTGGAAACGATATACACTGACACCTTTACTTAATTTCATTGGTCTTTTTCACTCTGGGTGTTGTGTGCAGGGCCGTTTTATGCATTAGGCATTGTGGGCAGAATGCCCGGGACCTATGTGAACGTTTGAAAGCTAAATAAAAAAAATTTGGTTCCAAAATATGAAACATGAAAACTGCAAAATAGAAATTAATAAACACTTAGACAAATGTATAGGAAACAATATCATGTCATCCTCATTAATTGTTACATTTAGGGCTCATAACTATTTCGTTACATTTGAAAACAATTTGTAGGTTGGACTTTTCTCTCTTTGCAAAGATTTCTAAATATGGCCCATGATTGCCAAGAACACACAGGCAATTCTAAACTAAATAGTTACTCATAGTCCAATAATTTGAAAAGCCGAATTATTTTTTTAAATGTTCTCGATTTTTTAAAAACAAAAATTCTACTTAACGTGAGAGTACAGTTTAGAGCAGAGCCCCGAACATCCAAAACCCTAAGACCTACTAAGGTCTAAATCAGCCTCATTTCCATGCTTCAAAGATCAGTAAAACTACCACCTGAGTTCATCCATTTCATGCTTGATCTCACAAGGAATTACATGTGTTTCTCTGATTATTCCTTGAACATGTTGCTTTTATTCTAACTGGTGGAATTTGATTTCCTTTGAGTCCCTCTGAAGATCAGTATGAACTTAATTATAAACTCTATTAGGGCAGGCAAGGGTCATGGCTGCTTCTTTACTGCTATAGGCCAAGCTCATAGGAAAGTATCAGCACACAGATAACAGCCAATGAGCAAATGAACAAGGCAGAAGCAAGAAATGAAGCATTTGAGTTGACCTTTAAATAAACTGAAAAGTGGTTCCGATCTTATCACTCATCCACTGTCACACAATGTTCAAATCCCATCGTCCAGGTCATTACAGTACGGTTATGACTTATGTCGGATTATACATGGTAGTTTTCACCCAGAAGGGTCTTGGATATGTCACCATCTGTTTTCTATAATCATAACTATCTATACACAACAAATGAGCATCTGAAGCATGTTTGATGTAAAGTCTGGCTTGTCTGAGGGCCTAACTTTAATGCATTTTGCCCAGTTTAGATGACAAGATGACTTAACCCTTCTATAGTTACCCAAAAAGGAGAACTACATTTTTTTCTACTAAGAAACAGAGCTTCCTTCGTGTATGCTATTCAC